GGAGGTGGTAGCAGTGTGTGTGTGTGTGTGTGTGTGTGTGTGTGTGTGTGTGTGTGTGTGTGTGTTTTCAGGAAGGTGCCGTGGGTAGTGACTGAAAGTATAAGCAAGGGGTTTGGAACCTGATCCCAGGCCAACATGCACTGCTTAGTTATGGGACTGCAGACAACATGACAGTTTTCCTTCACCTCTAAAATCATATAACAATAGGGGAACTTTCATCTATAGGTTTTATGGAGGCTTACATGATAGAGTAGTTTCAAACAGGGCCTTGCAGAAAGAAAGCACTATGTAAGAGTTTACTATGGTTATAATAACATAAGTAACAGATTTATTACTGAATATGCTAGTAATATTAATAGTGTGTGGACATATTCAAATGTCTGAGTGCTTTACCCAAAACCATCCAGAAAGACAGGTATCACTTTCTGAGGTAGGCCTGGGGGTTTTAGGTTACTCTGTAGTGGCCTGTGTCATGTTAGAGATCTCCCTTTCAAGCAGAAAGCATTAACAAACAGAGAGCCAGTGGAAGAGTTTATACAATGGTGACCAGGACTGCCACAGGAAAAGATGAAAACAAGGTTAGCAGACAAGCAGACTTTCTCTGCTCTCCTCACTCTTCACTGAGAGAAGTAAATTAAAAGGCAGGCACTGGAGTACACAAGCGAAATATGCATGTAGGTGTACAATAAATAGCTTTGTAGCCATCAGTGGTAGTGTATGCCTATTGCAGCAGTTGGGAGGCTAAGACAGGTAGGTTATGAGATTGAGGTGAGAATGGACTGCATGGCTAGACCATGGTTTTTGTTGTTGTCATTGTTTAAATAATAACTCAATATGATCCCACATAGGCACTCTGCAGGAAGTTCTGCTTCAGACTACATTGGGGATGAAAAAAAAAAAACTGAATAGGGTACCTGCAGTACTTGGTTGCAGTTAGTCTACCGTGGTGTTATGGTCCTAAGACTGATGGTGATTTTGTTTGAAGTACTGTGTGTTCCAGATCACTTAAACTTGTCTTATAGGAAAACAGTTGTGGTGATATTTTATTTGTACTGAAATGTTATTTTAATTTTATGTTAATAAATAAAGTTGCCCTGGGGTCAGAGCTATTAGAGCCATAGTAAGAGCGTGGTGGTTAGAAGAGCTAGGTAGATTTCTGTGTGTTCAGGGATACAGCCAGTATTGGAGACATACGCCTTTAAGACCTGGAGGGCGGTACTTACAGGCAGTGATGAGGCAGTCATGTGGTTGGGTTTACAACCAATGAGAAGGCAGAACAGAAAGATTATTTAAACAGGGACACAGGAAGTACCTCTCTCTCTCTCTCGGGGAAGCTAGGAGCACTGCAGTAGGTAAGATTTTATCTCTGAGCTCTGACCTCTCGGCTTTCTCTTTTACATTGGCTCTGTATTTCTTATTTTAATAAGACGATTGGTTACATCTACAAACAGTAATCTATTTTTTTCTTTTTTTGCAAGATTAATACTAAAGCCAACATTCCTGAAGTTTCCCAGGCAAGATGACTGAACAGAGGTACTCTGTACAGGACACTGTCACAAATAATAACAAGATCACAAAAGAAAAGCTGCCTTTTGATAAGAGTCATTGAGGGAAGACTCTAAACAATCTAGGAATTGACCAGAACTCAAACCAGAACAAAAAGTAAAAAAAAAGCAATCAACAAAAAACAAACAAACAGAAACTCAATGTCAATTCCAGATCCCCAGCCAGGAGTGTGGAAACGTATTTCAAACTGCTGGAAAAAAGTAAGGGAGAAAATGCCAACAACTGCCTGCCTGCCTTCATAGTAGCTGACCACTGTCGACTGCACAAACTTTACCTCAATTTTGGGGAACTGGCTGCTCAAAAAGAAAAAAAAATAGTGCACTCTGATTGGGCATTCTCTTACCTTCAGAACCTAGCAGCAACTACAGCCATTGCCTCAGGGGCCAGCAGCTGGTCCCTGCTACTGGCCAGAAACCTTGAGCCAGTGTGTGCATCTCAGGGCAAAGAACAGCTCCCTTAGCTTTAGCCTTAGGAACTGCACCTGCCATAGCCTCCAGCTTGTGTCCCACCCACCCTTTTTTCCTCATGGGAACTAGAAGACATCTCCTCCTAAAGCCACATCCTTGAAATGGCAGTTGTTGGTAGGAAGTCCCAGCTTCCACTTTTTGAGAGCATTCTTAGCTAGGAAAGATACTTCTTGCATCAGACATTGCAAACAGATGGTTTCTAGTGGCCTCACTCCCCAGCTCCACCAGATTTCACAGGAAAGAAAGGTTCCCTACCAAACACACAGCTTTGTGACTGGGATTACTGGAGCCCAGATACTAGCATTAGTCATAACTGCCACTTGGGAAAGTCTATAAAGCCAGCATAAGCCTAATAGCAAAACCAGATAAGAGCTCATCAGGAAAAGACAAAGAATGGCTAATATTCATCATATACTAATGCCTTCAAAAATACTAGCTATCTGAATTCAACAGCACTTTCAAGAGTTAGTAGGATGACTTGGGATTAATATGCAGACTATATAAGGAACTCAAAAACTTAAACACCAAATAATTGTATTAGCCAGATTATGACTTGGTTATAAAACCTAAATAGATACTTCTTAAAAGAAGGTAGACAGATGGCCAAGTTTAGGGTGCCTTGGACAGACAGTCTTACTAATTAGGAAAGTGTAAATCAAAACCACAGTGAGATAACATCTCACACCAGCTAGACTTGCTATCATCAAAAAGACAAAAGTCACTGACACTGGCATTGAATGTGGACAAAATGGAGCCTGAATATAGCAATGGTTTGAATAAAAAATTGCCATAGACATTATGGAAAATCACGTGGAAATCCCAGAACATCATAAAAGCTAATCTGAGCTTTGATAAGTTATGCAGCAATTCCACTATGGTGTCTCTATCTGAAAAAATGGAAAGAACTGTTGCCAAAAGGTACTCCTGAATTAGACATGAGTCACCACATTACAGTCACAGAGGGACATCTAGTCTAGTTTTCTATAACACAGATGGGTAACTATTCATCATGCTTTCTATGATGTATTTCACAACTATGGGAAGGGTTTGAATTCCCCAATTCTTAGGGTGGTTCTTGTTTGAAGAAATAGAAATACATATTACTGCATTGTGACTATCACACATTCCATTCATGTGTTGAACTACCACAATTTACCTCTTAAAGATGGCCAAAAATTATGTCTCAACAACAAAGAAAAATTAACTGTTTTTCAGTGTTAGTAACTTTGAACAAGCTGTGTAAGTACATCACTTCTGAACTGCAAACCCATTTTTGGGAAAGTAAAACTTGCAAAGAGAGACATAATATTTTTTACAAACTCAAACATTGCGAAGTAATTTCCAGCAGAAATTACAGTGATACAAAAGTGCAGTTACAATCAGACTTTGGTTGGGGTTGGGGAAAGTTAGTGAATTCTCATTGTAACCAGAGGAAGAACAAGATGGGGTGGAGGGAAGCAGGGAGGAAGAGAGAAAAGTAGAAGTGGAGAAGGGCAGGGGGATGATGGGAAAGGAGGAGCAGGAAGGGGAAGAGAAAAAAGCAGGAGAAAGGAACAGGAGGAGAATCAGGAAGAAGAGCTGAGAGAAACAGAAGCATTCACAGTTCACAAATGTTCAAACAAACAAGAAGTAGATGGACTTATAAACTGCTGAACATGTTTTTAGAGACATAAACTCGAGTATTGTCAGCTAAATGTGTTTTGTGGCCTCACTGACCTTTCTGTAAAAATATTAAGGAATTGTGTTACCAGCAAATTATTAAAGTGGGGAAATAGTGTACACTGTAGCAATAACATTTTAACTATCTCTTATAAATAAAACAACAGTTCAGATTTTAATTAGGAAAGGTTAATACCAAATATGTTGCAAAGGAAAACATTTTTTCAATTATTTTCTTAAGAAAGAAGAAGATACAATGTGTTAGAATTGAAGAGTCTGTCAGAGGGAAGATGCATGAAAACATAACCTTCTTTGGTTCATCCTTTGCAACACTTTTATCACATCCTAAGTTGTCTCAACCTGTGATATTAGCCTTTCTCATTTGCCATCATGAATGCCCACACTTTGTTCTCACACTCTGCTCTGTTTACTTCAGCTTCCAAATAACTTCTTTCTGCCTAAGTGTATTTGAAATTTCACCTTTATCACCTCTGTGAGTAACCTCCCTTGTCAATTTCCTTTTGTGTTTTCCTTCCTTAGATGTTTCCACCAAACATCAATTGTTAGGAGCTGGAGAGATAACTCAGTCGTGAATAGTGCTTCCCACTCTTGCAGAGGACCTAAGTACAGTTTCTAGCACCCACATAAGGTGACTCATAATTACCTATAACTCAAGCTCCTGAGGATCCAATGCGCTCTTCTGGCCCAGTCATTACATACACACATTTACATACACTCACACAGACAGAAGCATAGATACACAAATATATAATAAAATGTATCTTCACAAAAATATAGTGCTCATTTAATAATTTTGGTTTGCAGGAACAAGACTTGCTCAAGGAATCTAGGGAAAATAAGTTTTGTTCATAAATGGAATTCTGTGGTGAACATGTATAATAGGCTGCTATGTATGCAGAAAGGTCATGCGTGGACACAGATAGGAATACATTTTCTCATTTGCAAGCTTCCAATTTTCTCATAACCTCTTGATGACACCCTTATTATGCAAACAAAGCCACAGCTCCTTGTTTCTTTTCTGTAAATGGTCTTCTTACACTCACTTTCTCTGAGATGTTTAGATGTCACTATGGCACTGGACCATATTATAATATTTTCCATAATGTTCATACTGTATTCAAGAGGTCACAACTAGAAATTGGAGTCATATTTTCTTCTACTTTAGAGACAAAGGTGAAAAACATTTTTGGTTTTAAAATAAAACTTGCTTAAAATTAGAGTAGAACATGAATATCTCAGGAAGACAAATGCTTCTTTCTGTGGACTGATGAGTGGAAGAGTACTTACAAGATGTATGTGAGACTGCTGTGGTCCTCACAGTACAGTGGTTATTACCTCAGCATTGCCTCTGCACTAGGACAAAGGAAGCTGTAAAAGAAAAGAGGACACAGGCATGTATTCTCATCACTAGGGAAGCACAAGGAGGAGGATCATGAGTTCGAAACCAACCCTAGTTGTAGATCAAGATCCATACTCTAAAGGGGATTTAAAAAAAGGAGGAAGAGGAAACTTTAAGAATTTTATTTAACATGGGCAATTTAAAAAATGCAGGAGGCACGACCATCCCATATTACTACAGAGCTACACTAATAAAATAAGTGTGGTAGTGGCATAAAAACAGACCCATTTATCAATGTAATAGAATGGAGGGCCCACAAATAAAGCACATTCTTATGACCACCCACATTTCAATAATTTTTACATAGCTATCAGAAAGTTTAAATGGCCTAGTGTTAGTGATACAAAGTCTAAATGTCTCATACTTGAATACATCTTACTACATTGCTTCCTCACTCTTTTCTTTACATACTTAAGCTGGAGTATGTGGATTACATTTATGTGAGTAAATCTGAACCGAGTTCCAGTGACATTCTCCCACAAATAAGCAGATAATGTACACATTAATGCATACAAGGATTGGGGGCATTAAGCCAGACACTTCATTTGAAAAAACTTAATTGTACAGTGCCCACACGTGGAGACACATGAAGTTATTAACCACAGTATAGATTAAAAAGAGAAGTTTTATATGTGTACATACATATACATACATAAACACTATGAATATGTAATAATTATAGAAGAAAGAATCATGAATTTGAGAATGAATGGTCTAGGACAGAGAAGAAGTAAATGGAGAAGAAGGAGGGGTGGAAATGACATTAATCTGGTGTTCATCTATGAAATTCCCAAAGGCCAATAGAAAATTTAAATAAAAAAAATAGAGGTTTTTGTTTGGTCATTTTTGTATTTTGTTATTGTTGTTGTTGTTTGGTTATTTCTAATATTGAAGCTGATGGATTTTTCTAGATATAGATTCCAGACAAAGAAATGGTACTCTAAAACTTTGTATAAGATTCCTTAATGATACAGAGAAAAAAAAATCAATGAAACGTAGATATACAGGTTAAGTATCTTCAAAGCTTTAACAAGAGACTTGTAGGAAGTGGACATTCAGTCCTGTTAGCTCTCTTACTCCAGTGATCAGCCCGTTGTATGCTAACTTCAGAAGGCCAGAGGAGGGCTGTTAAGATCACAGTTTGGAGACACAATGAATGACTCATGGTGTTGGCAGCAACTCGAGTTGATGGTGGTCTTCTTATTAGCAGCACTCTAAGATGGCAGAGGACAATTTATGACAGGAGACGAGGGATACATGTGTCTCTGTGGCTAGTTGTTGGTTCTTCTTTTTATAAAGCCATCAAGATTCAGTCATGGTACCCCTGTAAAAATAAAGTCTAAATTTAATCATTTTCCCCAGGCCTCACTTCAAAACACTGGACTGATTTTTTTCCCACTCTCTTATTACTATTCACATATGATCTGGGGGATCAAACTCCTCAGTGAGTTAGTGTGGTGAACTGAAAAGCCAAATTTCAGAAATTATATTGCATTTCTGGGAAATGATGCTTTAGATGATAAAAATTAATCAAATCACTTTCTTCTTTAAGCAAGTCAAATAACTTATATCAAAGATAATGCTAGCTACTAACACCAGGATTTCAATATAAAGTCTGAAGCTAGGCCCAAGCAGTTGGATATGGTGATATATTCACAGGGGATAGAATGTCTAGAAGGTAGCACCAAGCCATAGAAATATTATTCTCAAGATTTCAAAACTTATTGTATTATGGGGGCCAAAAGAATCCAGGAGGAGATCATAAATCATAAAAGAAACAGAGCTCCTTTGGCACATGTCATATCTTCAGTAGATCTATATTATGGCCATCTCTCTTTTCTTTGTGGTTGTTGATAGATCATCTCATCAGTCGTTAGAAACTTTAAAGACTATAGCAGATCAAGCCACATTCTGAGAGCAATGTGATAGCAGGATACTCACGGAACCAAATAATGAACCCTTGACTTCCCATTAGATTAGGCAACTTTATCTCAGAGCAAACATCAGGAGACACACTGTGAGATATCTGCTTATCAGAACCACAAAAGTATCATTCTGATTTAAAGAGATCCATGGGTTGTGGAGATAGTGGATGAGCATGCTGGCTCTGCAATCATGACGATCTGAGTCTGAATTTCCAGCACCAACATAGAAAGCCAGATATGGCTGTACATGCCTATATCTCTTGGGTTGGTGGGATGAAGATAGGCAGAATTTTGAAGCTTGCTGATCCACCATCTTAGCTGACAAACCAAACTTCTGTTTCAGAAAGACTACTCTCTCTCTCTCTCTCTCTCTCTCTCTCTCTCTCTCTCTCTCTCTCTCTCTCTCTCTCTGTGTGTGTGTGTGTGTGTGTGTGTGTATGGAGAGAGAGAGACAGATAGAAAAACACAGAAACAGTGAGATCCCTAATGGTAGGAGGTGAGTAGAAACTGTATGAAGTCAGTGAGCATGCTCAGTTCCTTTTAAGATCTTATTTTTACAACACTATGGACATTAATTGTCATCATGTTTATCTAGGCACTATGAGATTTGTCAAAGAACAATCCCAGTACTACTTTCTCAAAGAGATTGTATGTTATGCATTGTGGACATTTTATTGTCTATTATTGCATACCTAGGCAGCTCATAACTTAGAGCCATTATTATATGCTGGCTTATAATTTCAGAATTTGTGCCAGCCTGGCAGAAGATGGGCCATCTCTATGACTCATGGAGATTTATTAGGTGATGCCCTTTACCTGGAAGGCTGAAGCTGTACCATACAAAGTCGTTTGTGGTCCACTCATACCCAATACCTCAGTTGAAGTGACTGGGATGGCTCAAATGGACTTCTGGGCTCCTTTGTCTTTTCTCTCTCTCTGCTCTTTTCATTCTCCTTTCCTCCTTTCTCTTTTTACCTCTCTCACTCTCTCTGTCTATAACAATTCTCTACACATCTCATAGTGGCTGGATCTTAAGAATCCAATCCTCAAGGCCCTTTAAAAACCTATGCTTGACATCTTCAACAAATGGTGCTGGCATAACTGGATGTCAACATGCAGAAGATTGCAAATAGATCCATATCTGTTACCATGCACAAAACTCAAGTCCAAGTGGATCAAAGACCTCAAAATAAATCCAGTTACACTGAACATGATAGAAGAGAAAGTAGGAAGTAGTCTGGAACAAATTGGCACAGGAGACTACTTCCTAAATATAACACCAGTATCACAGACACCGAAAGCAACAATTAATAAATGGGACCTCCTGAAATTGAGAAGCTTTTGTAGAGGCAAGGACACTGTCAAAACAAAACAAAAACAAAAAACAAAAAACACAAACAAACAACAGCCTACAGAATGGGAAATGATCTTCACCAACCCCACATCTGACAGAGGGCTGATCTACAAAATATATAAAGAACTCAAAAAGCTAGACACCAAAATACTGAACAATCCAATTTAAAAAATGGGCTACAGAGCTTAACAGAGAATTCTCAACAGAAGAATCTCAAATGGCTGAAAGGCATTTAAGGAATTGCTCAGCATCCTTAGTCATCAGGGAAATATAAATCAAAACAACTCTGAGATGCCATTTTACACCTGTCAGAATGGCTAAGATCAAAAACACTGAAGATAGCTTATGTTGGAGAGGATGTGGAGAAAGGGGAACACTCCTCCACTGTTGGTGGGAATGCAAACTTGTACAGCCACTCTGGAAATCAGTATGGTGGTTTCTCAGAAAACTGGGAATAAGTCTTCCTCAAGACCCAGTTATATCACTCTTGGGCATTTACCCAAGGAATGCTCAATCTTACCAAAAGACACATGCTCAACTATGTTCATATTAGCATTATTCATAATAGCAAGAACCTGGAAGCAACCTAGATGCCCCTCAACTGAAGAATGGATAAAGAAAATATGACACATATACACAATGGACTCAGCAGTAAAAATCAATGACATCCTGAGGTTTGCAGGCAAATGGATGGATCTTGAAAATATCATATTGAGTGAGGTAACCCAGACTCAGAAGGACAAACATAGTATGTACTCACTTATAAGTGGATACTAAATGTGAGGGAAGGGATGACCAGACTGCAACCCACAACTCCAGAGAGGCTAGCTAACAGGAAAAGACCCTAGGAGGGACACATGGATGATCCTGTGAAGGAGAAGTGGATGAGATCTACATGAGTGGACTGGGTGAGGGGTGGGGGGTGGCAAAGGGCAAGGAGTGGGGAATGAGAACATAGGGCAATGGGAGGGTCAAGCTGGAACAGAGACAGAGTAGGAGGGCAGGGAGGAAGATACCATGATAGATGAGAACATCATAGGAATAGGAAGAGGCAGGGTGCTGGGGCGGCTCTCAGGAATCCACAAGTTTGACCCCACCTTGGTCTGCTGGCAGTGGTCCAAAGGGTGCCTGGACTGGTCTACTCTGGTGACCAACCTAGCAAATAACCTAGCTGTCATCATAGAGCCTTTGTCCAGTGACAGATGAAGGCAGATACAGAGATCCTCAGCCAGGAACCAGACTGAGCTCTGGGAATCCAATTGATGAGAGAGAGGAGAGATACTGCAGGCAAGGGACGTCCAGATCATGATGGGAGGACATGCAGAGATGACCGGCCACACTAGTGGAAGCCCATAAACTGTGGACTGGTGGCTGGAGAGCCCCCACTGGACTGGACTAGGTCCTCTGACTGTTGTTTGGCTCAAACTGTTTGGGGGGGGGCACCAAGGCAGGGAGATCAGGATCTGTCGCTGGTCTATGGGCAGGCTTCTGGAATCCGGTGCCTGTGGTGTGATGCCTTGCACAGCCTTGGTGCAGTGGGAAGGGGCTTGGACCTGCCTAGGCTCAGTGTGCTGGGCTCTGCTGACTCCCCATGGGAGACCTCGATTTGGGGGATGTGGGGTTGCGGGATGGTTTGGGAAAGAGGGCCGGGGGTGGGAAGAGGGGGTTCTGTAGATAACATGTGGAGTGAGTAGAAAATTTCTTAATAAAGAAAA